TTTTATTAAAACAGTGTACCAAGTTTAAGCCTTCTATGAAAAATTATTTAGGTAGCAAATTATTCATAGAATTATAGTTAACTGACCCATACTGATACTGTCAAATTTAGCCTTGGCATCTACGCTTCAATGACCCCTGGGTACAAAGTGATTAAGCAAAGTATTAGCAGATTATTTTTATCAATAAAACAGTGTTCATCGCTACTCAGGAAATCATCTGCCTGCATAATTTCCCCTGCATATGATGGACAGGACATCAGTGATGAAAACACATTGGTGATTTCCAATCAAAATCGTATGCTTTAAATTAAAAGCGGAGCGAATCAGAACTTAAAAACGAGTTTGTAATTTTTTTTCCAGTTTTAGGATATCAACATAAAATATAGTAACACCAATAACTAGGAATGCACTGATACTGTTTTTTCGGTATCGAGTATGAGTTACTATATATTTTTTTCGGTACCAATACCGAACACCGAATGCCAATACCGGAAATCCCATTAAGGAAGACGGGAGAGGGTAATGACTCGTCACCCGACTTTCTAATTAGCCAGGGAGCCTGAAGCTGGCTTCCTGACCAATCAGAAAACCGAGGGGTGAGTCATTACCCGCTCCCCAACTTCCTGATTGGCCAGGAAGCCAGCTCCATTCTTCCTGGAAACCGGGCAGTGTGTAATGACTCCTGACACCAGAAATTGCAGTATCGGGAGCATTTGGGTGAGTACGGGTACTCGCCATCAGTGCATCCCTACCTATAACTATGTTATTATACAGTGTTATCCTTTAAACTGTAAAAGACATGCCTCTAATTGCCTAAGGGCACTGAAGCATGATGGGACGATGTAGTAATTTCAAATGCAGGTCTACTAAAATGACTATTATTGCCTCTTTGTAGAATTTTCTATTGGGCTCTCCTTTGTTGTTTTAACTGTTTCTAGAATATTAAAAAGTAAGATTATCCAAGAAAGTTAGTCAATATCCTTGAAATATATTGAGTTCACCTCTTTTTGATACAATGCCTTTTCTCTATATAAAGAAACTTTGCAGACCTTGGCGGGCTTTACCTTCAACCTTTGCAGGTCAACATGGTCAACTGAACCTCAATCTTCCAACTATCTTTTCTATAGATCAGAGAAATCAAGCCATTCAAGATTTTCAAGCACCGTGGTATTACCTGGATTAAGAGAGATTTTCTCATTTAAAATAAAATTAGACTGATAAATCCAGGCCTATAAAGCACTTTAGGGAGCATTAGAAGTAGAAGAAAGGATTCACAAGATACATTAATTAAAATGCTCTTAAAAAAGAAATATCGCAACACTTGAGTAAGGTTAAATCTTAGTTAAAGGGGGACTGGACACCAGCCAAATGACTCCTTTTTCATTCCCATCTTCCATGCAAATACCTCTATAAACTGACTTCAGAATTTTCTGTACCCTCCCCACCAAGGCTGCCATTCAAAAATCTCCTTCCGATACTTAGCACTGTTCCCGAGCAGAACTCTATGCGAGGCTGCCTCTGTGTTAAGCAGACAATCTGATCCTCAACCCCACACATATTATGTCCTCCGTCATAGCTAACAAATATAACAAGTTATGAGGCACTGACTACTTTGGGAAACCCCAGTGATGGCCAAAGGTAAAATATTTGGGGGGGGGTTAGGCATGCAGGGGACCTAAAGTCTGCCTTTTTAATGAAATACCACTTTAAGCTAAACAATACAACTGCCCTGTTTATGAAACACGTAAAAAGTCTACAGTTCCACTGGAATACATTTTTTATTCTGAGAACAATTATGGAACCCTATTTCTACAACTTTTCTGCTCCTAATTGTAAGCTTTTGATCACATTTAAAATAGTCCCAAAAAGTGACATCATAGCCTCATGCTGTCTCAGATTTTCTAGATGATTTCAGATCCATAGTTCTGATTCCATGCACATGCTTTTTTCCCCTTTAAAATGGGAACAACTGGCTATTGACCATAAACAGTTCCATGCATGTACATGCCAGGTCATAAAAACAAAGGCGGCTGCCAACTCAGGTCTATTAATGTCCAGTGGCCCTTTGGCCAGAACCAGTGTAGCTCCTCCTATTTAAGTGGCACTTATCCCAAATGACAGATTGGGTCTTCATATAAGGAGAAAGAGTATGAACTGTTGTGTGTGTCCACAGAAATTGAGGATATACAAAAATAAGTTGATCTCCCTGGTGCCTACATCCCTAGAACTACATATCAAAAACCCATGACCCCAGATTGTGACTTTAATGGTACCAAATTAGAACATATCATATCAACACAACTATATCCAACCTAAGTAATTTTTAGTATAGTTTTGAGTAGATAAGATAAGAGAAATCTCACAAATATATATATAAATTTCTAACATAAAACATGAAAAGTTTATACATACCACAGCTATTATGTGAGTATGTTACAGACTTCTCTAAAAATCTCACTGCACCAACATTTATACTGGAGATTGTTAGTTGCCTTAATCTATATAGTTTGCGTACAATTTTCTCTTTGCTTTACACCTTTCAGAGGAACTCAGCCTGCTTCCTCAGGAGCTAGAGGTCCAACAATATTACCCTATAACACTAAACAAAGGTAAATATATATAATACAGTATGCAAGTAGAATTTATTTAAAAACATAAACAATTCTTAAAGAATCATCAGAATGCAATGAAGTAAAACTTACATCATTGCATCTAATGTGATCCCAAAGGATCTTTTGTGACGTGTGAACAACTTAAATGAAGAGAGTCCAAAGAAGCAAGTAACTATAATTCATACAAGAAACAGAAAAATATTTCCAAATGTGTTGGAACACAGTAAACAAAGACTGCACCTGATATCTGGACGTGCCCATTTATTCACCTTTACAAAGGCCCAACTGTAATGATCAAACTGATGTCATCACTTCCTTTTACTGTGTTGTGCATAGCCAGCCTAAAACCAATTTTGCATCAGTCTTTTAAACTTGGAATTTTCAATTGTGTATATTGAATGTTTTCTTTTGAGATGCTACACACGTTTGCCTTTTTGTGCGATCAATCCAAATTACAATCAGAATTATGACTGAAATGGCCATTACTTTTATATGAAAGTTAGCTCTATTGATTTTGCATGCAATAAAAAATAGGAGAGATTAAATAAATGGTCAATGCACCATACTTGCTGCAACTATATTGAAAGTAAGCAAAAACTTTCAAAACAGTTAGGTTATTTTGTTTGCAAGTGAAGTTAAACTTGAACTTCTATTACTGGCTTCCTTTAGGTCAGGAAAATAAACCACTAAAATCACTTTTTTTATGTCTGTTTGATAAGTGCAGAAATACTTGTTGATCCTACCGAAAATCTTGTTAACAGCTCCCAGTGCTTTCATCCTCTCCTGACTGTTATCGGTTATCATCTTTGTTATTGATAAAAGGAGAAGGGAAAGTGTTCTGTAGTTCTGTCCTAGGGTAACAACGATGCGCCTCCGTAAACACAATGGAGTCACCCTAGGACAGTAGAAGTCCAATTAACACACCAAGATAAGCTACCTTATTTTCAAAGACGTTTTTTTAGTTGGGTCCAAAGAAATTAAAAATTTCAGTCACAAGGTTAAAAAAGAACAACTTAGGCTGTTAACGTTACATTAAACTCAGGAGTTAAATCTTAAAAATGCATTTAAGTACCTTAACTATTAACAAAATCTATCTTATTTGTGTATCACTCGGCTGTAGATCGTCAAATCATCTCTGAATTAGTGCTGACACTGTCCTTCACTGCAGAGCATGTTCGGCATGTTGATACATTTGAACTGCAGTTGACCTTGTTCTGACCTTCATTTGGCCTCCTAAGCTGCATCAACCTCCTTCAAGCTGCTTTTGAGTTCCCATATACTTTTATGGGCAGAAACCAGTTTTGACACCAACAAAAAACAATCACAACCGCCCCTTAGAAAGCATATAGCTTCATTTCCCTTTCCTTTGTAAAAAAGGAAAAGCTTAATTGCAGTCAGCCTTATTTTTAGAGCTATATCAATATTACTATTTGCTTGAATCCCCAGGGGGAGTTAGAGGAGGTTTTGGGGCTATAGAAAACTTCTAATATTATTTTGATTTTCTACAATATGCTACTCACCAAGTGTTCTGTTGCGTTATATGACCTTTCTGTCTAGTTGGTGTTTTGCTATTGATTTTAATTACTCAGTTTAATTTACTGCATGCCAACACAAAGCTGTTTACTTCTACTTGCCAAAATGTTGTCATAGCCTCCCGGAGGAAGGCTGAATGAGAAAATTGTACATGTTTTGGAGTTTGAGGCTATTCGCTAGAAAGGAATATCATTGGGCCCTGCTCTATAAAATGTTACTGCAGCCGCAGCAGGCAGACACTTAAGATTGCTGCACACAGTAAAAGAATAAAATGTCAGGCGAGTCTGGGCGCAAATAAATCTCGCCATCGTCGCTGAGCTTTATTGGTCTGTTCTGTACTGTACTTATACAAGGCTTCATCAGATCAAGTATTTAATGCCCTGTCTCATCGCTTCTTGCAGTGTCATTAAATAGAGGAAGATTTGTTAGAAGACATATTATACCCGATGTAGATCGATAACCGGAGGGCAGGCTGGCAGTTCGGTTTGACTGCAGAATGTCTCACTCACAGTTACAGGCTACGGGTAATGTCAAAAACACAAATGTTGTCTTAATAATTTTATTTTCATCCTAGAACCTTTGTAAGGACATTTAAAGGGCATTTGTTTTTTATTCTAGGAGAACTGCAGGGTAGATGGCTTCACTGATAATAACTTAAAGCAGACTTTTACCCCCTTTTACTAAAAATGACACCAGCATGCAGCTCTGCAAGCCGATATAAAATAATCTTACATTAATTAGTTACACAAACTGGTTTTTCATTTACTTACAAATAGAGTTCATCTACTTCCTGGTCCACGTCTGGCATAAATGATGCAATGTGCCCAAGCATTGCTCCTGGGAATGTTACATCAGCAGAACATTGCTGGGAAATCTCATTTCTAATCTCATGAGATCTCAGGGAAAGGCATTTTCCTCCCCGGAGATGATGTGGATGGTAACATGACCTAGTCACATGCTCCAGAGTTCCAGGAAGTGAATGGAGAGCTAGTAATCTGCCTTTAGTAAACATGGCCACTGTCAGAAGACTGGGAAAGAAAAAAATAAATAAAGTATGTAAAGAAAATAAAGCCGGCAATTATCTAGAGGTATGTGTTTGTAGATTGTCATTACTAAACAATTCTAAAGGTGTGTTTGTTGTTACTTTAAAGATAGACAGGATTTACATGTGTGATCTCTGAACCAGCATCTTAGCCTGGGCAGTAAATGCTGACCCTCTGAAGATGCCTGAACCAAGGTGATGTTACATTTACAGGCTGATTTACTAAAGGATTGCACTCAATAAAAAGGGTGAAGATTCACTTCAATTAACCACTCATGTGAAAAGCTAATTCCCCTTAATTTATTTCATCTGCATATGACTGGGTATTTAAAGTGAACGCAGCTACCAATTTTGGAGTGAAAAGTCGCCTTTAATAAATTAGGTTTACCACTTAGCATGCATTCACTTAACATGAAGAAATATATCTGGTGCTAGGTCCACTTTAAGTCCCCATTCACACCTAGGCGTTCTGTTGCTGAAAGCTAAGTGCAACAAAACACTCAAAAAAAGGAATCCAATTAATTTATACCGCTTCTGTTCACACCAGAGCGTTTTGAAGCAAGCAGAAAAATGGCTGTCGCACGAAAAAGTACATGAGCTACTTTTTGGCAGAGTACAGAAGTTTTTGGTTCCGTAGAATTCAAAGGGAAACTTTGTGAGACAAAATGCTCAGGTGTGAACAGGGGCTATAGAAATGAATGGGATCCCTTGTCTTTAGCGTTTTCGTTGTGCTTAGCTTTGAGCAAGAAAATGCTTAGGTGTGAACGTAGCCTAAGAATAGTAAAGTATGTGAAATGAAAATTGATTGCTATTTTTATGATCATGTGTATTGATTATTTGGAAGAAAATATAAATAATTAAAAAAAATACACTGTCTGGACAAAAAAAAATCACCACCTGGATTTAGCTAAGCAAATAGGTAAGAGCTAAAGGGGTTGCTTCAGTTGGTCAGGTTCAGCAATGATGTGTGCCCAAAAAATTAGGTCAGCTGCGTACCTGAATATAGTGAATGACCAGGTTTTTCCATCAAAGGATTTTTTTCTTCCCTGATGGCACATTGGGCATATTCCAAGATGACAATGCCAGGATTTATCGGTCTCAAATTGTGAAAGAATGGTTCTGGGAGCATGAGACATTTTCACACATGGATTGGTCACCACAGAGTCCAGACCTTAACCCCATTGAGAGTCTTTGGGATGTGCTGGAGAAGACTTTACGCAGTGATCCGACTTTCCCATCATCACTACAAGATCTTGGTGAAAAATTAATATAACTCTGGATGGAAATAAATGTTATGAGGTAACTTAAGCTTATTGAAACGATGACACGGTGAATGTGTGCGGTATTCAAAGCAGTTAGGTCTTTAACCTTCAATGCACAACCTGGCCAAGAAGACACCCCCTAGTCTGCTGATTGGACATTTACTTTAGGCTGTACTGACCCCTGGTCAATGGAATTGGGTCAGGGATGGTTTTTAATATTACATTCCCTTCTATTCACTTAACACACTATTCATTGTATGTTATGTCTCTAGTTTTTGTTTTTTTAGTATTATGTAAGATGGTGATATTGACGCTGTAACTGTTTTAGTTCACAGTCACCGGCTGGTAAAATGTTAGCCTCTTGTGTAGCATAGCAACTTGTTAGTTTGATCATTTCTTTTCTTTTAAAGGTCACCTTTTCAGCACAACGCACAGCGAAACCCCTTGCTAAGTGATATATAAAACAAAGTTAATTGATTGATTGCCTTTTAACTAGGAAATTCTACATCTCTAGCAGACATGTGGCCTTGGAGAACTCATCCCAACTGTACAGATCTGACAGCGACAGTGAAGAAAAATGACATTTTTAAATTATTTAGAGAACAGAGAACGCGTTTATATTTGTTAAAGCCTAACTACAGTCAAAACATTTTTGAGCTCTGAATAGTGTAGGGAAAGCTGGAAACACCGATTGCTTTTTTAACTGTTTGCATCCCCTTTGGACAGATTTTAGGGTACTTCCTGTCCAGATGATAGGTGTCTAACAGTTGCATAATGTAGAAATGTATAGACTATCGAATGTACAGCACAGTGTACAGAACAGACTAGGGTTCAGTAAGGAAAGTACATTACAGTGGGCAAAGTGGAATGGGGTGAAGCATATAATATACATCTCAGGGCCCATTCACACCAAAATCAGAAGGAAATCGCAAGCCAACAGAGGCTTCATTGCCTTGCAATTGTACCGATTTCCTTCTGATCAATTGTGTTGCAATTAATATTTTCCTCATGTATATTTCTTTGTAAAAATGTCATCTTTTTATATAAATTAACAAAACAATGTTACATTTTAATATCTTACATCCTAATTTAATATTAGGAGTACAATAGGTTCTTAGTAGTCTTCCAATACAGGTTATCCATTTACGTTGTGGTACATATCAATGACAGCACAGTGTACAAAGTGAAAAATGTGGGATTATCTAATGTACAGTACAGTGTACAGAGTGGAACAGTGTGATTCATATAATGTACAGTACATTGTACCGAGAAGCGGTGTGGAGTATATAATGTACATCTCAGTGTATATACTGTAATGGAAGATTGTGGAGTATGTAATATACACTAAATTGCCAAAAGTATTGGGACCACTGCCTTTACACGCACATGAACTTTAACCCCTTCATGACTGAGCTAGTTTTTAGTTTCTGTTCCTAAATGACTGACACACTTTTTACATTTTTGCTGTGTGATTCTTCCACAGCAGCAAGTTTTGATTATTATTATTATTTTTAGAATTTT